CCCCTAGACTGTACTCCGTCTGCGGCCTTCTTTGCCCTTCCCCAATCTTCATGACTTTGTACTTGGTGGGATTGAACTCCAGGAGCCAATTGCTGGACCAGGTCTGCAGCCTGTCCAGATCCCTTTGTAGTTCTGCCTGGTCTTCGATCGAGTGAATTCTTCTCATCAACTTCACGTCATCTGCAAACAGGGACACCTCAGAGTCTATTCCTTCCGTCATGTTGTTCACAAATACCAGAAACAGCACTGGTCCTAGGACTGACCCCTGCGGGACCCCGCTGGTCACAGGTGCCCACTCTGACACCTCGCCACGTACCATGACTCGCTGCTGTCTTCCTGACAAGTATTCCCTGATCCATTGTAGTGCCTTCCCTGTTATCCCTGCTTGGTCCTCCAGTTTTTGCACAAATCTCTTGTGTGGAACTGTGTCAAACGCCTTCTTGCAGTCCAAGAAAATGCAATCCACCCACCCCTCTCTCTCTTGTCTTACTGCTGTCACCATGTCATAGAACTCCAGTAGGTTTGTGACACAGGATTTCCCGTCCCTGAAACCATGTTGGCTGCTGTTGATGAGATCGTTCCTTTCTAGGTGTTCCACCACTCTTCTGATAATCTTCTCCATGATTTTGCATACTATACATGTCAGTGACACTGGTCTGTAGTTTAATGCTTCATGTCTGTCTCCTTTTTTAAAGATTGGGACTACATTTGCTGTCTTCCATGCCTCAGGCAATCTCCCTGTTTCGATAGATGTATTGAATATTGTTGTTAGGGGTACACATAGCGCCTCTGCTCCCTCTCTCAATACCCATGGGGAGATGTTATCTGGCCCCATTGCCTTTGAGGTATCTAGCTCACTCAGAAGCCTCTTCACTTCTTCCTCGGTTGTGTGCACTGTGTCCAGCACTTGGTGGTGTGCCCCACCTCTCCGTCTTTCTGGAGTCCCTTCTGTCTCCTCTGTGAACACTTCTTTGAATCTCTTGTTGAGTTCTTCACATACTTCACGGTCATTTCTTGTTGTCTCTCCTCCTTCCTTCCTTAGCCTGATTACCTGGTCCTTGACTGTTGTTTTCCTCCTGATGTGGCTGTACAACAGTTTCGGGTCAGATTTGGCTTTCGCTGCTATGTCATTTTCATATTGTCTTTGGGCCTCCCTTCTTATCTGTGCATATTCGTTTCTGGCTCTACGACTGTTCTCCTTATTCTCCTGGGTCCTTTGCCTTCTATATTTCTTCCATTCCCTAGCACACTTGGTTTTTGCCTCCCTGCACCTTTGGGTAAACCATGGGCTCATCCTGGCTTTTTCATTATTCCTGTTACCCTTGGGTACAAACCTCTCCTCAGCCTCCTTGCATTTTGTTGCTACATATTCCATCATCTCATTAACTGGCTTCCCTGCAGTTCTCTGTCCCACTGAACCCCGTTCAGGTAGTTCCTCATTCCTGTGTAGTCCCCTTTCTTGTAGTTTGGCTTCATTCGTCCTGGCCTTCCTGCTTCTCCCTCCACTTGTAGCTCTACTGTGTATTCGAAGCTTAAAACCACATGGTCACTGGCCCCAAGGGGTCTTTCATATGTGATGTCCTCGATATCTGCACTACTCAAGGTGAATACTAAGTCCAGCCTTGCTGGTTCATCCTCTCCTCTCTCTCTTGTAGTGTCCCTTACGTGTTGGCACATGAAGTTTTCCAGTACCACCTCCATCATCTTAGCCCTCCATGTATCTTGGCCCCCATGTGGGTCCAAGTTCTCCCAATCGATCTCCTTGTGGTTCAAGTCACCCATGATCAGGAGCTTTGCCCTGCATGCATGAGCTCTTCTGGCCACTCTAGCCAGTGTGTCAACCATCGCTCTATTGCTCTCGTGTGTGTGTGTGTGTGTGTGTGTGTGTGTGTGTGTGTGTGTGTGTGTGTGTGTGTGTGTGTGTGTGTGTGTGTGTGTGTGTGTGTGTGTGTGTGTGTGTGTGTGCGATGCATCAACACAGGTACCAGCATCATGCAGCAGTACACTCACCTCCTAGTCAGTCATTCCAGGAAATACAAACGAAGCATCGGTTATGGTTTTAGTTACAGCCAGAGGAAGACCCTAGACCCGTTACCTGTCCAAACTACAGTGGTGGAGGCCTGAGTCATGTATATGTATGCACACTACAGTGGTGGAGGCCGGAGTCATGTATATGTATGCACACTACAGTGGTGGAGACCGGAGTCATGTATATGTATGCACACTACAGTGGTTGAGACCGGAGTCATGTGTATGTATGCACACTACAGTGGTGGAGACCGGAGTCATGTATATGTATGCACACTACAGTGGTGGAGGCCGGAGTCATGTATATGTATTCACACTACAGTGGTGGAGGCCGGAGTCATGTATATGTATGCACACTACAGTGGTGGAGGCCGGAGTCATGTGTATGTTTGCACACTACAGTGGTGGAGACCGGAGTCATGTATATGTATGCACACTACAGTGGTGGAGACCGGAGTCATGTGTATGTATGCACACTACAGTGGTGGAGACCGGAGTCATGTATATGTATGCACACTACAGTGGTGGAGGCCGGAGTCATGTGTATGTATGCACACTACAGTGGTGGAGACCGGAGTCATGTATATGTATGCACACTACAGTGGTGGAGACCGGAGTCATGTGTATGTATGCACACTACAGTGGTGGAGACCGGAGTCATGTATATGTATGCACACTACAGTGGTGGAGGCCGGAGTCATGTATATGTATGCACACTACAGTGGTGGAGGCCGGAGTCATGTATATGTATGCACACTACAGTGGTGGAGGCCGGAGTCATGTGTATGTATGCACACTACAGTGGTGGAGGCCGGAGTCATGTGTATGTATGCACACTACAGTGGTGGATACCGGAGTCATGTATATGTATGCACACTACAGTGGTGGAGACCGGAGTCATGTGTATGTATGCACACTACAGTGGTGGAGGCCGGAGTCATGTATATGTATGCACACTACAGTGGAGGATACCGGAGTCATGTATATGTATGCACACTACAGTGGTGGAGGCCGGAGTCATGTATATGTATGCACACTACAGTGGTGGAGGCCGGAGTCATGTGTATGTATGCACACTACAGTGGTGGAGGCCGGAGTCATGTGTATGTATGCACACTACAGTGGTGGAGGCCGGAGTCATGTGTATGTATGCACACTACAGTGGTGGAGGCCGGAGTCATGTGTATGTATGCACACTACAGTGGTGGAGGCCGGAGTCATGTGTATGTATGCACACTACAGTGGTGGAGGCCGGAGTCATGTGTATGTATGCACACTACAGTGGTGGAGGCCGGAGTCATGTGTATGTATGCACACTACAGTGGTGGAGGCCGGAGTCATGTGTATGTATGCACACTACAGTGGTGGAGGCCGGAGTCATGTGTATGTATGCACACTACAGTGGTGGAGGCCGGAGTCATGTGTATGTATGCACACTACAGTGGTGGAGGCCGGAGTCATGTGTATGTATGCACACTACAGTGGTGTTAGCGAGCATCTTGCATGACAGTATAGTAACTTATTGTTGTATTTATCAAACAGTTTTCGAATTACGTTAGTGATCTTCTTCGTTAAACTCTGTCTCTTGTAGAAGCCAAATGTAAGGTTAAGGAAATGACGAAATAAAGCAGGAAGGGAAAGGAGGGAGAGATAAAGGATGGGAGGAAAGAAAAGATGGATGGAGGGAGGGAAGAGGTAGGCAGAGATGGAGGGAGAGAAAATAACAAGGTAGGAGGCCCGGATAAATGGAGGGAAGGAGGGACGGGGAGCAAGAGAGAGAGAGAGGGAGGGAAGGAATGAAGGAAGGGATGGATAGAAGCCGCGATGGAATGGAGGCAGGTAGAGAAGTAACCATAGATGAGTAAAAGGTAGAGAAAGGAAGAAAGAATATGGAGTGGAAATCCTGGTTTGAGAGAAATTGAGAATGACATCGTTTTTCACCTACCACTCGCTTCCTTGTGACCGTCACTATGGCTTCAGAAAAGGTTATTCTGCTTCCGATCTGTTGTTAAACCTCTCCACTAAGTGGTAACAGTCACTGGATGAATCCATGATCAGCTGGGTAGTAGCACTAGATACCAGGGACTCCTGACAAAACTGAAAACACTAGGAGTTGTTGGCTCTCCACTAACAGAGTAGTTCTCAATGGGACAGAATCACCAAGACACTCTACTGGTGCCAGTGTTCCTCAGAGAAGTGTGCCTGAGCCATTGTTATGGAATGTCTACCTCAGTGACCTCCGTCATCTCATTTCAGAATCCCATTCTTATGCAGATTAATGTACACTGATATTTATTTATCCAAGAGAAGAAATACCAGCTGCCCCAAATTACATTAATCACCATCTCACGGCTAGATCGCCCTAGGGTAAACGATGGCAGGTCACATTTTCTCCTGAGAAACTACAAATGGTGATGATCTCTAGGCACCATGATGGCAATGCTGGAGCAGTGGTAAGAATGAATAGGAGAGTGTTGGCATGAGAGAATGAAGTTGATATCCTTGGGGTGAAATATGATTCCAAACTGACTGTGAAGAACCACGTAGTAAATCTTGTAAACAAGGCAGCCAAGAAGTTAACAGCAGTATGGTGTATCCGTACCTGCTTGACAGCATAGGCTGCAAGATGCTACACGAGGCACAAGTATGCTTATACTTTTAGTATACACCACTTGGATTGTCTACCCTCCGTCTCGTCTGCGACTTCTTGACAGATTAGAGAACAGAGCAAGTCAACATAAGGCTTTCTAATAAGCTGAGGTAGGTAACAGCTCCTTACGTGTAAATAACACTGTGAAAACCCTTGTGTAGAGAGACAGAGAGAGAGAGAGAGAGAGAGAGAGAGAGAGAGAGAGAGAGAGAGAGAGAGAGAGAGAGAGAAACAGGGAGGGAGGGAGAGAGGGGGGATGGAGGTGCCAGGTGAGGGAGTATATAAGGGTGATGGTGGCACCTTGTGTCACCAGACAGCATCATTTAGGGACTAAGGCTAGACACTCGTACCGTAGGTGACGTTTGTAGTAGCCTTAGTCACTGTTCCACTCCTATTCTCTCCCCGATAGTGACACTTATTATTACTACTGCCACCGCAACTACAACAACACAGACTCTACTGTCAAGATCTGGCAGAAGTCGGACGTCTTCTGAGCTGATCTTTCCATAAAGGTAGTGTGATACCAGTCTTATTCGCCAATTTAAAAATTTCTCTTTCTATTACCACAAGTATTACCACGTATTTCTACAGCTATTGCCACTACTACTATTGCTATTACCACTGATAGCTCTACTATTACACTATTATTTCTATTACTCTTCCTTCTCGTACTATTAAGAACTTTGCAAATTAGTGAAGAAGGATCTTATTTTGAGTCATGATCCTGACAAGAACAAAAATTTTAATGATTCTCAAGAAATGCTCAGAGAATTAAATTTATAAAATAAAAATTAAGCCTAGTTTTAAATTCTCACAAGAAGCCTCAAACTGGACTTAATCTGGTTGCTAAAGTTCTTACCGACCTTACGGGGAAATTAATAAGATTAACGAAATACTTCGTTTTCTGCTCAAAGTGAAGTGCTTATTGAAAGTTACAATGAAAATCTTTATTTTCATAAAGCATTTTCAAACAGTTATAAGAATGGGTGACAATGTACAGAGTGACTGGAAACTTCCAGGTTAACCCATAACATCAGCCAATCGGTTCACAAGACACTGTTAACCAATTGTCCACTTACGAAAATTCTTACGACTTAAATAACAAGTTTTTAAAGCCTGGTACAAGACTGGAAACAACAGCAAAGGAAGCCTATTGCTAGACTGGAAACAACAAAAAATGAAGCCTGGTACAAGAATGGAAACAAGAGCAAAGGAAGCCTATTGCTAGACTGGAAACAACAAAAAATGAAGCCTGGTACAAGAATGGAAACAACAGCAAAGGAAGCCTGTTACTAGACTGGAAACAACAAAAAATGAAGCCTGGTACTAGACTGGAAACAACAGCAAGTGAAGCCTGGTAAAAAAATGTAAAAAAAAAAAAGCTATTGTTGACAATTAAGTGTAATACATGATCTACATTAAGCCTGCCAGCCACATTAAGTTAAGGAAGACATGCAATAGGAATGAGATTCCTCTCAGCAGAGTACTGTATTAGAAACTCGTAGGGATGAACAAGTGTTAGTATTCTGTCATAGTACCATGAGGGGAAAAAACAAAATATTAAATGAAATCTTCTTGCCCTACTTACCACTCTTCTCAGCAGAGCTGGTACCACTCTTCTCAGCAGAGCTGGTACCACTCTTCTCAGCAGAGCTGGTACCACTCTTCTCAGCAGAGCTGGTACCACTCTTCTCAGCAGAGCTGGTACCACTCTTCTCAGCAGAGCTGGTACCACTCTTCTCAGCAGAGCTGGTACCACTCTTCTCAGCAGAGCTGGTACCACTCTTCTCAGCAGAGCTGGTACCACTCTTCTCAGCAGAGCTGGTACCACTCTTCTCAGCAGAGCTGGTACCACTCTTCTCAGCAGAGCTGGTACCACTCTTCTCAGCAGAGCTGGTACCACTCTTCTCAGCAGAGCTGGTACCACTCTTCTCAGCAGAGCTGGTACCACTCTTCTCAGCAGAGCTGGTACCACTCTTCTCAGCAGAGCTGGTACCACTCTTCTCAGTAGAGCTGGTACCACTCTTCTCAGCAGAGCTGGTACCACTCTTCTCAGCAGAGCTGGTACCACTCTTCTCAGCAGAGCTGGTACCACTCTTCTCAGCAGAGCTGGTACCACTCTTCTCAGCAGAGCTGGTACCACTCTCCTCAGCAGAGCTGGTACCACTCTTCTCAGCAGAGCTGGTACCACTCTTCTCAGCAGAGCTGGTACCACTCTTCTCAGCAGAGCTGGTACCACTCTTCTCAGTAGAGCTGGTACCACTCTCCTCAGCAGAGCTGGTACCACTCTTCTCAGCACAGCTGGTACCACTCTTCTCAGCAGAGCTGGTACCACTCTTCTCAGCAGAGCTGGTACCACTCTTCTCAGCAGAGCTGGTACCACTCTTCTCAGCAGAGCTGGTACCACTCTTCTCAGCAGAGCTGGTACCACTCTTCTCAGCAGAGCTGGTACCACTCTTCTCAGCAGAGCTGGTACCACTCTTCTCAGCAGAGCTGTCACCACTCTTCTCAGCAGAGCTGGTACCACTCTTCTCAGCAGAGCTGGTACCACTCTTCTCAGCAGAGCTGGTACCACTCTTCTCAGCAGAGCTGGTACCACTCTTCTCAGCAGAGCTGGTACCACTCTTCTCAGCAGAGCTGGTACCACTCTTCTCAGCAGAGCTGGTACCACTCTTCTCAGCAGAGCTGGTACCACTCTTCTCAGCAGAGCTGGTACCGCTCTTCTCAGTAGAGCTGGTACCACTCTTCTCAGCAGAGCTGGTACCACTCTTCTCAGCAGAGCTGGTACCACTCTTCTCAGCAGAGCTGGTACCACTCTTCTCAGCAGAGCTGGTACCACTCTCCTCAGCAAGCTGGTACCACTCTTCTCAGCAGAGCTGGTACAACTCTTCTCAGCAGAGCTGGTACCACTCTTCTCAGCAGAGCTGGTACCACTCTTCTCAGTAGAGCTGGTACCACTCTTCTCAGCAGAGCTGGTACCACTCTTCTCAGCAGAGCTGGTACCACTCTTCTCAGCAGAGCTGGTACACTCTTCTCAGCAGAGCTGGTACCACTCTTCTCAGCAGAGCTGGTACCACTCTTCTCAGTAGAGCTGGTACCACTCTTCTCAGCAGAGCTGGTACCACTCTTCTCAGCAGAGCTGGTACCGCTCTTCTCAGCAGAGCTGGTACCGCTCTTCTCAGTAGAGCTGGTACCACTCTTCTCAGCAGAGCTGGTACCACTCTTCTCAGCAGAGCTGGTACCACTCTTCTCAGCAGAGCTGGTACCACTCTTCTCAGCAGAGCTGGTACCACTCTTCTCAGTAGAGCTGGTACCACTCTTCTCAGCAGAGCTGGTACCACTCTTCTCAGCAGAGCTGGTACCACTCTTCTCAGCAGAGCTGGTACCACTCTTCTCAGCAGAGCTGGTACCACTCTTCTCAGCAGAGCTGGTACCACTCTTCTCAGCAGAGCTGGTACCACTCTTCTCAGCAGAGCTGGTACCACTCTTCTCAGCAGAGCTGGTACCACTCTTCTCAGCAGAGCTGGTACCACTCTTCTCAGCAGAGCTGGTACCACTCTTCTCAGCAGAGCTGGTACCACTCTTCTCAGCAGAGCTGGTACCACTCTTCTCAGCAGAGCTGGTACCACTCTTCTCAGCAGAGCTGGTACCACTCTTCTCAGCAGAGCTGGTACCACTCTTCTCAGCAGAGCTGGTGCCACTCTTTTCAGCAGAGCTGGTACCACTCTTCTCAGCAGAGCTGTTATCAAAAGTAACTAGCACTTTGATAACGACTAGCTGACTAGGATTCTGGCGTCAAATGCTAGTTTAAGTCTGGTAGGTTTATCTGGAGTTTATCTGGAGAGAGTTCCGGGGGTCAACGCCCCAGCGGCCCGGTCTGTGACCAGGCCTCCTTAGGTCAGTGTCCCAGGATGCGACCCACACCAGTCGACTAACACCCAGGTACCCATTTTACTGATGGGGAACATAGACAACAGGTGGAAAGAAACACGTCCAATGTTTCTACTCTGGCTGGGAATCGAACCCAGGCCCTCACCGTGTGAAGCGAGAGCGTTAACCACCAGGTAAGCAAACAATTCTCAAAGTCAAGAAACGACTAAATTTTCATGCAGGACATGGAAAAAATATAGGAAAATGAAAAGTATTAATTACGTTTATAGGCACACTGTAAGTTTTAAAAAATAAAATATTAACGATATTTAAAGCTGCTGTCTTAAAGCTGCTGTAAGACTGATGTTTTAAAGCTGCTGTAAGATTGATGTTTTAAAGCTGCTGTAAGACTGACTGAAGTTTTAAAGCTGTAAGACTAACTGATATTTTAAAGCTTCTATAAGATTGATGTTTTGAAGCTGTTGTAAGACTGACTGATGTTTTAAAGCTGCTGTAAGACTGACTGATGTTTTAAAGCTGCTGTAAGACTGACAGATGTTTTGAAGCTGCTGTAAGACTGACTGATGTTTTAAAGCTGCTGTAAGACTGGTTGATGTTTTGAAGCTGCTGTAAGACTGACAGATGTTTTGAAGCTGCTGTAAGACCGACAGATGTTTTAAAGCTGCTGTAAGACTGACAGATGTTTTGAAGCTGCTGTAAGACTGACGGATGTTTTAAAGCTGCTGTAAGACTGACTGATGTTTTAAAGCTGCTGTAAGACTGACAGATGTTTTGAAGCTGCTGTAAGACCGACAGATGTTTTAAAGCTGCTGTAAGACCGACAGATGTTTTGAAGCTGCTGTAAGACCGACAGATGTTTTAAAGCTGCTGTAAGACTGACAGATGTTTTGAAGCTACTGTAAGACTGACAGATGTTTTAAAGCTGATGTAAGACCGACAGATGTTTTGAAGCTGATGTAAGACTGACAGATGTTTTAAAGCTGCTGTAAGACCGACAGATGTTTTGAAGCTGCTGTAAGACTGACAGATGTTTTAAAGCTGATGTAAGACCGACAGATGTTTTGAAGCTGATGTAAGACTGACAGATGTTTTAAAGCTGATGTAAGACTGACAGATGTTTTAAAGCTGATGTAAGACCGACAGATGTTTTGAAACTGCTGTAAGACTGACGTTTCAACTAAATATAACACATGATAATGTTACATGTGACTGTGTTGTAAGTTATTAACAATGTCACATTAATAGTTGGTAGGTAAGACACATAGACAACAGTTAGGCAACTTTATTCCGAAACGTTTCGCCTACACAGTAGACTTCTTCAGTCGAGTACAGAAAGTAGGCAGGAGCAGTAGAGATGTGAAGACGATGTAATCAGTCCATCACCCTTGAAATCGTAGATTTGAGGTTGTCAGTCCCTCAGCCTGGTGAAGTTCTGTTCCAAAGACTGGAACTAACTGAAGATCAAGCGACAGTGTTGAGACTTAAATACTGTGGGAAGGACCTGCCTCGTATGTAAGGACCTGCCTCGTATTGTAAGGACCTGCCTCGTATGGGCCAGTAGGCCTTCTGCAGTGTTCCTACATTCTTATGTTCTTATGCAGAGTAGTAGTAGTGAGAATGT